GGATGGAGCTTCGTATTCCGCTCTTTCTCTCCTCAACCGTGTTCAACGTAAAACCATCTGGATGATCATTGAACCGTTTTTAACTTCCACCTTGCAGTCGCTTTCCCATCGCCGGGCAGTTGCTTCGTTATCTCTTTTCTATCGTTACTATTTTAGTTTCTGCTCTTCCGAACTCACTTCAGCGGTTCCCCTTCGATTGACCTTCTCTCGTCCATCTTGTTCTCAGGCGACCAGTCACTCTTATCAGGTTTCTGTCCACAGATGTCGGACATCTATCTTTCAATCTTCTTTTTTCCCGAGGACTGCGAAATTGTGGAACACTCTTCTCATTTCCGTGTTTCTCAGCTCTTATAGCCTTACCCTTTTCAAAAGCGGGATTAACAAATTGGTTCTTACTTAAATGTTCCCCCACATACCTTCCCGTTACAGTACATCATTGATTATGGGGTTTACCCCTTTTGTTGTAAATCAGTTCGTGTGTAATAAAAGAAACGTATTTTTTAGGAAGCATGTTCCGTTATCCCTGCTGCGGGTCAGGATCGATCGGGTTGCTTCGGGAAGGTTCAGAGACTCAGTGGCATTCCAGTATGTCATGAAACAAGCCTCCCGACCACAATTTGCTANACAATTTGCTAGGCCATTGAAATGCAGATCATTCTTGGTGAGCAACCAGTGCTAACTGATGTTATCAGATAAATGTCTTTCTCGACTGCGGAATAGTGAAAGTCGACATTCGAGATAAGAGGAAATAGGTAGGTCGTTTGAACGCAGTAATACAGCAATAGTGATATGGGAAGCGTCTATCTCAACACCTAGCCTCATACCCTATCATACTTCGACGATCATGGTTTTTTGACCTCCTTGAAATTTTCAAACGCGCTTCGGATCGATTTCGGGGAGATATTTTGTTCTCTACTGTGATACTATGAAAAATAGGATTCACTGTGCATAGCTAGGTGAACATCTGCACCACTGGTTGTCGACCTGGGGAATCATTCAGAGTTTGTAGTTTCTGGATGGACAGCATTTTTTCTGGGTCAGGTTTTATGATGCCCTTACATACTTAGTGGCTGAGGAGACCAGATTCTCTTGATGCGGTTGTACTTTTGGTATCATTTGATATAATGTTGTGCGTCTTACCAACTGAAGAATGAGTCAAGATTGTGGTTTCTCTCTGTTGTAATTTGTCTGCAGAAGGCACCGTTTTCGACGCAAGCTAGCGTATCTAAAACTTCCCTTTTTGAAGGCTTTGATTGATGATTTATTTAGAACATTTAACGCCCTTGGTCACATCCAATGGAATGCGACGGATGCGATATTGAAAAAGGCGTCCACATGCTCTGAAGTTAGTGTTGAATTTTTTTTGTAAGCCATCGTGTTCGAATGTACTGCACACTTCGAGTCGTGAAATGGCTTTTATCGTCTTGTCTAGCTGCGGTAGAAGTTAAGCATCCAGGTATAGCAAGCGGTTTTTAGTCTGACCCTAGTTGGTCACCAGTCGTCCTTTGAAGGTTCGATGTTCTCGTCATCGAATAAACGACTAACTTCAGAACGTATGAACCGTTCTTCGTGGAATGAGTGCCACCGTGATTCGGTCACAGGTATCTCATTTCGATTTACTCTTTCCTCTTTGCTTGGCCGAATGGTTGGGTGGAAGACAGCAACTAAAATTTATACACGACAGGGCATGGTTGATGGCTGTGCTAACCGAATGGAACTGTGGGCAGTTTGTCACTGGTAAACAGAGCTTACCGTTCACTGGCATTTTTTGCCACGTAGGACTCCAATGTTATCGGCTACATTTACTGTTTTGGCCACTTTGATATTCTCACAGAGGCTTCACGTAGTGCGTCATTAAAACCAAATTCTCTTATCTTTTTGAGGATCCGGTTCTCCACCTGATATTGTCCCTCCAGGGTGAACTTCTGGCCTAAACTTACGAATGAAATCATTTACTGAATGCATTGCCTGTGTGATATCTCTATATTGTTCAGTCACTGAGTCAANNCAAACGGCCACTGCAATCCAGAGTTTCCCGCATGCTCCTGTCGAGGGGATTAGCAAACCGTATCAAAATCACCGAATGATCGGAATTTATGTTCTCGGCTAAGAATCTTGTATTTTTTGCTAGTACTGTTGTACAGTTGGACTACTCACAGGTGGTGTTGCTTGGTCTGTGGTGTAAGATTTTTGTTCGACATGATCCATTCAGGACGCTGCCTGGAGCCCAATTTTTCGCTTTTACTTAAACATCCTCGTTGAAATCAATATTGGACTGATAAAGTTTGAGAAAACTATGAGTATTGTCTTTGTTTCCTCCCTTCTATGTAAATTCCTCAATCATCAGGAACCGATTCCTCCGTTTTACCTCTCATCTGATGACGAGGAGGAATGTTTTCAAGATGTCGCTGAAGAAAACAGCAGGTGGGTTATTTAATTGATTTATTTTTTCGGAAGGCGGATCTTTTAATGGATCCATCTGGCCGACGAGTGATGTTTATATTTAAAAACTCGATGCGGTCATCCCGTCCGTCGTGACATGTTAGTTGGATGTTGGGGTGAAGTATGTTAAATCGTTGGACTAGGTTTTCTCTGTCTTCCTTGATGTTGCTTGTAACGAAAATTTTATCAACTTAGCGACAGCATAGATTTAGTCACGGTACATCCTCTTCAAGCATTTCCTCTAGGTCATTATTATCATAAATTACAATGCCCTCGGCGTGAATACGGCGACCAACCCGACCGATAGGATAATAAGTAGGGTAGTAAATATTTTCCGTTTCACAATAACGTGAATACTTTATACCATTATTACTAATGTTAAAAACTATACCTTATGAACAAGAAATGAAAGCATTATCCAAATAGATGAACTACAGTTTGCTAGCTAAGGCTTTTCGTTTTAGGAATGGTTTGCCGCCTATCAGATCGATTAAGAATGCACCATGTTCTTTCGTGTGAGGGCGCCTCAGAGTTTAAAACAGTACAGACGACTACATCATAGAACCAAACTATAAGGTAAAGTGGAACATCATACTCTCAGAAGGGTAATTAGATAAAGTCACCACATAATTCGTCTGCACGTAATAACAATCGTGATCTGATGCGGTATAACCCCCACGGAACTAGGTGATCTAACAGGACTTACCCGACCATTCCAAGTTTTTAAACATTCACAGCATGTCATGTTTTAATTGTCCTCGATGCTTTTGTAAACAGCAGTTGTCTCAGTAATTGCTGTATGTGAATCAAGTCTATTAGAGACATTATTGATGTCTAATTCCGTCTAATTCCTCTGTCTCGAGCTATTCGGGCCGTTTGCAAGAGTAGAACGGGTTCGTTTACTATGACAACATTTGCGCTTAGTACTGCTCGACAAAAGCCACCATCTTTCTCCTAAACACTTTTACTCCTAAATAACACCATTAGATGCCCCCTTTAAAATAATTTTCCTCATTTCTTCATTCCTTGCTTTATATCAGTGCGGAAGATATGTTACTAGGTGACCGAATATCATCACGGGCCACCAGTTTTCACACTGTCCCTAGCTACGCTAGTTCCAGAAAAAATGCATTGCGTTTGGGTCCTGAATTACCCAATATCATTGCTGAAGAACTGGATCAGTTGGCACAACTTGCCATGGGCGAACTCTCTGTGATCAGTTCAACTCCTAAGGTTGGAGCTGGAGGTGACGAGTCCCGATGGGGTACACAGGCGTATGCACGATGCGTTGTCTACCGTCGCAAAGTAAGCGTCACTTATGAACTGACTTTACACGTAGTATTGTTGTTACGTTCTCTCGCTTTTTTCCAACTGATGATCAACATTCTGACAAGACCAGGCATATGTCAATGAAAGNAATGAAAGCTCACTTTCATTTGAATGCTACTTGGATTCCGCTTCGCGCCGTTTTCACTGGATATCCAACGACTTTAAGACTTTTGTTATTCTTTTATTATATTATTGCCTCGTTTACCACATTCATAGCTAACGGGTTCATTTGAACTACTGATCAAGCCTTAGACTTCTACAAGAATGTAGACAATAAAGGCATACAATGTTCGCCAAAATCATCGAGACAGTTAATCTTTTGCAGTTAGCTTCGCGATTGCAAGATTGGCAAACTTCATTTTTTTATTGAAGTGGAACCCAAACGTGTTCTCAATTAGGAAATGCTTAAAAACTTAGCATATCAATAAATATGCAAATCCTATCGATAATTTAAAATAGNATAGGGTTGCACAGAATCATCGGGATAGTGTGGCCATGACTGGCTCCTCCGCGATCCATGCTTTGTTTTCTGGCATTTCGTTTTCATTCCAGCCTATCGACAAGTATGTGGCACCTTCTTGTCGATTACCACTACCCATAATGTTACGGGGCGGAAAATTTTCACTTAGAAAGGGGGGTTTAGGGTATTCAGACAATTGCATAGTAATCTATGATCACCGTGACCTGATGACCACTATTTTCACAAGTTAAAAAATCCTTTTTTTGAATCACGTTCTGGTCGAAAGAATGAAGCTTTTCACTAGCTGATCCGCATTCATCGGAGCCAGAGTGCCAGAGCGATTTTTAAAACGAATTGTGCAGCGAACACTGAAAGAGATGTCCTCACTGATTTACAAGAGGACTAGGGGGTCGCTTCTCCTAATCACCATTCAATTCAGTATGGAATACAGTAGATTCGAAGCCACGGTTTCGAATGCACTATTGAGGGTGAGAAAAATTTGGATCTCAGCGGATGGTATCAGTCACATTAACATTGAAATAATATCAGGCGGGAAGAAATCGTGATCACTTGGTAGTCTAATGAAAACCGATTCTTTGTGGTCTGGAGTACATTTCTTACAGATAATTGTGGTTAATTGGGGATGCTGGACAATGATTAAAATGCAGTGGTCTATACAAACCTGATTGTGTCCTGTTCCTGTTCACCGCAATGCTGATGGGTAGAACCGCTTCTTTTTAACTTGACAATGCAGCCATGCACAAGTCAGATACCACAAAGGTTTCGCCATTTTTTCCACGTCATCCGCATTGGTAAAAATCGGAGCCCACTTCAGAACAATTGGGATTTGTTGACCGGGCGAGTGTGTCGCAATTCTGTGCTCTGCAGTTTTGTGGCTCAGCTACCAGCTATTTTGAAAACATAATGGAAAGCATGAGCACCACACTTCCTAGAACACTGGTTAGCAGGTGTATTGAATTAGAGGATAGAAGAGGAATAAAAGGATTGCACTCCACTAAAGTAACTGCGGTGGACTGAAAACAGTCGCACCTCTGTTTACTAAGGACGTGGAAAAATAGATGAGAAAAGAGACGCATGTCATTAAACGTATGAATACTCGGTCTGGTTATAGCCTCCGGTGCGTTCTACAGTGTTTGCTATTGTTGTTGTTGAGCGATCAGAAAAGTCGAAACGCCCGGTTGAGGATTATCTGAGCAATCATCTGTTTCTGGAGGCTCACCCACTGAAACCTATCTATTGTGTTTTAATCAAATTCTGTATTTTTCGACCGGTTTTCTCTCGAAATCTCATCCTCCTGACAGTCAGATGTCTCTCTCTCCTTAGAACGTAGTCCCGGATAGCGGTCATCCACCCCGCGCGAACGCATTGTCTCTGACCGACTAATTCAAGCACTGAAACCCCAAAGAACGAATACAACCATCGGTGCTGTACCGGCATAAAGTCCCAATGGGATCATTGTTAAAGACAGCTTATAGGTCCTCCTTTTTCAAGAGATGTAGAACTTTGCACCTAGAAGAGCATTTGTGAATTTCCCAAAAGTAGTTCACGGAACGTTGTGGGAATCATTTAACAAACTATCCGCTTGTACCGTGCGCACTCAGTTGTACGCGATATCTGCTGACATCTGTTGGTGGTCATTGCCAATGCACATCTGTTGTTTCAAATCTTGGGTCGGAAAGCTATTAATTATGCTCGATGTAGCCATCATAAGTTTTATACCGCGGCAATTCAGTTCGCAAGTGCCCATCAACTGTAATGAAATGACCATTGAGGAAGTCAATTTTAACACTCATTGCCAGAGTGATAGTTGTTATTTTCTACCAGAAGGGTGTTTTCTTGTGTTTTCATCCAAATTCAGTCCGGGCATACAAAAGTTTAGTGTCAAAACTGATTACAAATAGGGAAATTCACGTCACGGATTGTACCTCTAAACTAGAATCCTTCATAGTCATGGGAATTTTGTTTTTACTGTCCCTTAAAGTTTCTCTGTCTGTGAAAAGGTTTACATTCGCATCTCGGTGGCTGGATTGATTTCCACTGCGTGATGTGCAGATAGTTCCCTATTGTGTGTCGGAACCATTACCGCCAACGGGAATGTTATCATCATTGAAAGCAACAGACGTGACGTATAAAATGGAGCACGGGGATTTTAGTGCGAACAGTGGCTAGGTGTACAAAATTTAACAACTCCGTAATATTGGTTCAGACCGTTGAATGGCAAGACCCCAGAGGTTCCCAGTGAAAAGCAATCACCTTGGTTGTAATGCGATTCTACGCAGTGCTGAGATTATAGTCCACAGAACATTTTAAGTGAGATGAGCGTAGCTTTTATTTTAGAGCCGCTTCAGGGCGTAGCCGAACTGGTAACGGTGATTCACGTATCACTATTCCATAGTTCAACAGACCACAGCATTGTTCAAAAGATGCGGTGGTGTTATCATCAGACGTTCTAACAATGCGGAACGGATGGCTTAATGCGAGGTTTGCATCTCAAGCCTTGAAAATATTACGAAAATTCGCCCTAAAGTCGTACTTTAAATTCATAACTGAAGTAGAAAATAAAGAAAAATCTGGGGCCGGCGTCCAGTTCATCTAATCATACACCCTTCGATCGGGGTCAAACGTCCAAGATGCCCAATTCACCTCGATATCCAGCCGAGCCGGTAACCAATACCACGACCAGAAGGGTGTTTTTGTGCACCCCTCCTTGGTTAGTTTGGGATCATTGTTTTTAGCCAACTGCACTAGGTGGACCAGCAGTGGTCCACCAACCCGGTTATAGCCCCAGATGTCGGCTTTTCGTCCTCTCACTTTGGTGAAAAAACACCTCCGCCACGAGAAGGCAGTGAGTAGAGCTTTCTCAGCAGACGCTGTTTGAGATGCTTGGTGGTATGGGAGCATTTCGTGAGGTGCAAGGGAGGGGTGACCAGTCATAACCCAATACATCCACCCCCTACCATACTGAGGCTTTCGGAGGCTTATAATGAAACAATTGGCACAAAACGTCCAAAATGCATGTAGTCACCTATCCAGATTACTTTACGATAAACCGATCTTTCGATTGATTTCTATGTCAAGGAAATCCAGGCTATTGTTCTGTTCAGTGTCCGTGATGAATTTTGTTTTCAGGTGCAGTCGATTTAGGCTGTTCTTGGCTTGTTTCACATTGTCCGTGATGATGAGAATATCATCATCATATCTTCTGTATAACGTAGCTCATTTCATTAAATTCTGAGCTCGACAGCCAAAAGACAGCAGCCAAAACCGGTGCACGAAAGTGCACGGTTAATGGCTGTTCAAACTGAAACTGAGCTCGGAATTCCCAATGTATCATGAATAAATCCGCTATTATTGGCCTCAAAGGGCTTCCCGTAGCGACACCATCAAGTTTTCTTTATCCCTTTCCTTGGAATGTAAATGAAACAGTCTTAGTGCACAGTAGTAAGGGTTTCTCCAAAACGGAGGCCGGTAGGCCAGTTCTCACTTGTTCTGTTTCGAAGTGATCTTAAATTACTTATTTTTCATTGCTGACCCTTCCCTCGTTCTACTTTTTGTTGTAATCCATTCCTAAACACAGTATAAACTTCGCATTTCTCCGATGTAAGCACCAGCTGAGATGCAATGAAATCCTCCCGGACATAAATCGTGCAGTACTTCGGTTATTGATTACTTTCACCTTTTCTGACTGATCGTGGCTTCGATGGTCGAATGCGGAAACTCGCTGGGACGATTTCAGTTTTGGCACGCATCATAACAACGTCGCATACCATCTTCTAAGCGATTCACCTTAGTAATTTTGGCATCACTTCACCAAACAATCAGTCACTGATGGTCAACAGCGATTTTCTAGGACGTGGTCGAGGATTCAGACTGCTGGTTACCGTTACCAGGGTTCGCCCAAACGATAGTTGCATTGTAAATGACATTTCGCGTAAGGTGAAACAGAAGGAAGGGATGAATACATATGGTGAGTAGATAGATCACGCTGTCATTTCACGTTTCTGCCAGGGTCTTCACTTGTTAGGCAGATCGCTCATATCCTTTACTGGTAAGGGTGTAGTGTATTGAAATGTACCACTACTTTCATGCAGTCTAATGATCACTCAACCGGAATGATAGCTTACTAGGCTGTGGTGATCGCCTGTTCGCTAAGCCTGGCAATTTACAAATGTTTCATCACCAGCCGAGCTGACATCGTCAGTACCACTTCACATTCACTGACGATGTCAACTCGGCTGGTGATGAAACGTTTGCAAAAAAATTGCCAAGCTCGGTGATCAGGCCAAAGAGGATTCCGTTCACCCGAGCTACGAGAACCCATTTTAAATACTTTGTCAACTGTCGTGATGGCATCAAACAACAATCGGTTCACCGATCAATTGCAGTTCACAGTACTAATGTTTGTCCTTCATGCAAACAGTTCGGAATTCAAATCCCGGATGGTACGGTACATGTGTCACCCCCATAAGCCCTAAGAACAACGAAACTCGGGTCAACATCTTCCCGAGCATGTGGTTGATTGAATTGTCTGAGAAGTGTGCGTAACGATGAAGTTTGAAAGGTGATCAATCAAATCAATATTTTATTCTGAGCTTAAGACAATTGAGATTGAATGAAACTAGGGAAACCTAATTCTCTTACCACGAAGGTTTTAGTTTTCTCGGTTTATATCGAGTACCTGTTCTTCATGGTCACTTCAATGTAGGCAAGATATCTTCCTATTCACACTTTAGATGAATTAAAGCTCATCGACGATGGAGCGTTTGCATGTATTGCTTTTCCCACGGTCCATTAAGGTGTTTTATCAGACGGGATTGGAAAAATGCCAACACTAGTACTTTTGGAACGTGATCTGGTGACTTTTGCTTCTTTGCCGTCACATGTACCCGGCGTCACTTTTTAATGGTAATCAATAGGCATAGATTTCACGCACTACCGGCTTTCTGAATTCAGTGTCAACCGCTAGTGACTGGTGAACCGATTGCCGGCTCACGTGATCCTCCTAGCCTAGTGTGCTGACACTCCAACTGTGTGATTAATAAACCGTTTTTAATTGGATGAAATGGACCAGCTATATCTGTGCCGGTAAATGGTTTACCTGGTCTGCCAAACTCGTTAAGGCCCCCGATAAATGTGTTGTATAGTGATGTAAACTCTGCTCGCAGACTTTATGCCCAACACGCGAGTTATGCTCAGCTTCGACTGGTTACCATATCTAAAACCGTGCTCGTTTCCTCTCACGAAACTCTGTTGTTTGAACTGTGGAAAAATCAATACTGTCAGTGTGTTATATATTATCGGAGACATCCGTTATTATTATTGTTATGTATTAGCTTAGCGGCTGTACGAAATCGTAGACCGTGTCCAGGCCTGAATTCTAATCCCATCAGAGCTACTGATCTTTTCATAGTCCAATCATAAACTCATTATCTTCCATCACATGCCAAACATGATTCGAATAATTATCTGATTCACACTGCCTGGTGTGAAAAAGACAGTAGTCAACTGATTTGATATGTTGATCAGCGTCCCTACATTGAGCTACATCTTTGTTCCACTCCGGCGACTCTGGTATAATATTTGCATTCGTCCGGGAGTTCACAAACGAAGGAGTTGCGTGAAGGACCAGGATGATTTGCAAACGTCTGTCGTGGTAGGAATTGTACGGGCTGGATCACCCCTTGCTACAACAATCTTCACTTCGTGAAAAATTATGTTCCATCTTAATCACTGCATCTGTTTCCTTATTGATACAGTATCAATGTGTATACTAGAACAAACTGAATTAAAAGAGCAAATCGCATGTTGTTCAATTGAAAACAACGACATTCTTCGTCTGGCGTCATCTCAGTTCTTCGACCAAATGTGAAACAGATTAGTTGTCTTTTTAAGAGGGATTTTTCGTGTACCTTCAGTTGTTAGTTCATATGTAACACTATCGATGTTCTATTTTCCTTACATCCAGGTCTGTAACATGACGGGTAATAATCTTGAGCGCTTCCATGTGCATCGTATTTTTTATGACTATGCATTTTAACCACCGACCCGGTAAAGTAGGTATCCCATGAAGTGCGCTTTATTTTCTTTCCTATTATCCCTTCCAACTGTTTACATAGTATCGGCGTACTCCGGAGTTTCTATGGCGTTTCGCCCGAGCCACTTTTCTAGCCAGTGAGGACCTGTCTTCGGAAGAAGACTACACAGCATCGCTTAATGATGTGGGAGATGCGTTGAGCGATACCACTTCCAACAGTTCACAGCGCAACCTCGACCCGGGCAATGCAAACGACTTGGCCTATGATTTATCCACACGACGGCAATTCGTCGAGACTGGACTTGGTTTGGCCAGGAGAGCACTCCGATTAGCACTCAACGCACGCCAAGAGCAGACATCGACAGTGTCAGATGCCTGTTTAGCTAATGTATACAAATGGCTTGCGGTACTGGTTGGATTAGCCTGTGATTTTGGTGGTATGCAACAACGAATTACTTATGGCAAAGAGTTCAAAGTAAGCTTACCAACTACATGCATTGATGCATTAGCTGACGCATTCAAGATGAAACTGGAAACCTGTATCTCTTACAGATAACTGTTTTTTTTTTGGATTGCCTTGACAGCAACAGTGTATTTTACGCATCCACTCTTGAGCATGACAACATATGAGCCTATTCAGACCAACGCTGTTTGCTTCGAATTGCTTGTGGCAAGTGCCAAATCTAAGTAACCACGATACCGAGTTTAATCAATAATCTCCGTGACCTGATTTGTTTTGTGAATTGCTGTGATCAGCTATAAGACACAATGGTAGACATTGCGAGTCAATTGATTTTGTGTGCAGACGATTGATTAATGTGTATTGATTGGCATTGTCCCACATTTTTGCTTTCATTCTTTTACTTCATTTTTACTAACTGCATAATCATCCAAGCAGATTTTAAGGAAAGGGAAAGACGGTCAACTAAGGGTTTGCCACGTGATATCAAGAAAAGCGGAAATTTAGGCGTTGTTGATGGGGTTCGAACGCTCGACCTCTGGAGCGGTGTGGTTGGTGGTAACCAATACCACTTAGTCTCCGTTGTCATCAGTGTTGAATTACAATTCAGTAACAACTTTTAACAATCCAATTAGGTTGTCTCTCATCAATCATTCCGTTTGATTTCGTCTACTCAGGTTACTTCAAGGGTACATAAGGTATTTTCCCTGTCATACAGGTTCGTTTAACTGACTTTTTACTCTTATATCTCTCTCTCTATGATCACAAGGATCATCGATGTGAATATACTTTATGAATGCACTTTACATTCTCGAAATCCCTATAATTCTGTACTCTGCGTGGTGATGAAAGCCAGCTTTGTTTTCAGTAGCTTCTAGCAGAGACATCGATTGTCCATGTGTATTCTTTTTTACTTTTTTAAATACATTTTTCACTACATCTCGCTGTGACGAAAAACAAGAGGAGACGCGATAGTTTCTAGGGTTCACTGTTCACTCACAGAAATCATCAACTTTAACACTGGGAATTGGAGTACTGAACTACTTAAGATCTCAATAGCATAGGCGTATTATCGAGCCGGACGAGAGTCCAGATGACTATCACCAAATTTGATTGGCGGCGGCGAGATGTGAACTTCAGGTTTTAAAGCACGCCAGTGACAGCGGCTTAAACTCTTGAATCACCACATGATAGTAAAAACAATTTCAAGAAGAGGGAAGCTGTTGAGGAACAATTCACAACCCCATCGGAGGATTCGCAGTAATAATTGAGGACACATTGGACGCCCACGAACGGTATGTACGATGTTACACATTGGGAGAGCAAGCACAAACACAAGGTAAGTCCGGACACAATGGAGTGAATAGCACAATGAGCGCGATAATTGCCTAGACCAAATTCACGTTCCTGGAACAGTAGAGTATGTCTCTTTCGCTGGTAGCCTATTATCTACGAAAGTGCGAACATAGGCGGCGGACAACGGAACCTGTATTTGACAAAGAAAGCAAGTCTTATTAACCGCTTGAATTCGTTTGTTTGAATAGCTCAATCCTTATGTACAGAGTCCTTTAAAATCAAAGTTTAGATGAAGGAATTTACAGAGCAAACCAAACAGCGACAAGAAAATGAGGGTGAACCGGAAGTCGCCAAAACACTTAAATTGTGGAGGAAAATCAAAAATGCTTCAAAAATAGGCAGTCAAAAGCGGTCAGTCTCGCACACAAACCGCAAGACATCCTTTTCAGGTGACCGCACCTAATTCTACCATTACTAGTTTTCAGTCTTTATTGCCCCAAAACTGAACGACTTTTGATCACCTTACCTCCGCCTGTTTGCACCCTTACTTTTCAAATGCAGAATCGACAAACTTGCTTCGCCTGGACAACCTCCCTCAGCCCACAACATGCATTGCGTGGGGTTTATCCCCTTTCTACTGTA